AAGACAGGGTGGTGATTCCTCAAGGATCTAGAACCAGAAATACCATTTGGCCTAGCAATCCCATTACTGGGTATATACCCAAAGGATTATAAATCATCCTACTATAAAGACACATACACACTTACGTTTATTGTGGCACTGTTCGCAATAGCAAATACTTGGAACCAACCCAAATGCCCATCAACGATAGACTGGATAAAGAAAATGTGGCACATGGAATACTATGCAGTCATAAAAAGCACTCGTTCATGTCCTTTGCAGGTACATGGATGAAACTGGAAACGATAATTATTGGCAAACTAATACAAGAACAGAAAACCAAACACCACATGTTCTTACTCATATGTGAGAATTGAACAATGAGAATACATGGACACAGGGAGGGGAACATGACACACAGGGGCCTTCTGGGGGGTGGTGGGCTAGGGGAGGAATAGCATTAGGAGAAATACCTAATGTAGATGACAGGCTGATGGATGCAGCAAACCACCATGGCAAGTGTTTATGTAACCAACTTGCACATTCTGCATATGTACCACAGAACTTAAAGTATAATAATAAAAAAAAGAGTTGAGGGTCTCTAATCTTTCTTAACAGTAGTTTACAAAGTAGCTCATATGCATAACAACATTTGACTCTCCATTTTGTTATTGTATCTTAATGATGTGATTTAATCTCATTGAAGAACCTTTGATAAGTTATGTTGGACTATGTAACTGAACACATTGTGGCAAGGAGAAAAGAATAGGGAATGAATTTTCAGCTTTGGATCTAACCATTTTAGAACCATCTACAGGCAAAATCAAAATGGCCCAACAGTTCCAAGAGCCTGTCAAAAGAGCGGTGATGGGTACTGGGGGAGCCCCAACATGAGACTGGAAGTAGAACTGTTTTAATTATGGTATTCCTGGTTAGGCCTAGACTTCATGAGTTAAGAGAATAAAATGCTGGATATTGTTAGGGGTGTGGTAGGGTGAGAAATAACTCCTTCATATTCCTGATGTTTCCTTCTTTTTGAAGGGAATTGTAATAACATAATACTCCCGACCTTTCTCTTCTCCACAGGAGGTGGAGTGGCTTACCTGATTGGTGATTTTAGGAGAAACTGAGTACATGTGTTCTATCCCTTTCCTCTCGGGAGTGAGTGGACTTTTCGAGGGCAGACTCTGCCCCTTGTTGGGAAGCCTCTGTTGTTGGCCAGTGCTGCCACTTATGGGGAATACGTCTATCTGTCTGTCTGACTCTGTGCTTCTGTATTAGGAAGTCCATGCTTGGTTATTAGTAAAGGTGACATTTTGACATCCATCTGCTGACTCGTCTTATTTCTCAGTTGATTCAGAACCAGATGGGAAGAGTAATATTGTTTACTGGATCCCCTTCAAAGTCCCAAACAATTATATGTATATTGTGATATTATTATATGTATGGAAATAAAGTTGCAAAGAATAGGATAGAGTTTTGATTATAATTAAATTCAGTTATAATAATGTCTGGCAGGTCCTGGAAGGAAAGAATGCTGGTGATACACATATTTTGCATTCTTAGAGTACAGTGCGGGTGAATTAAAGGACACAAGTCTACATTCCATGACCACAGGAGCACAATGAACAAAGTGTGCTATTGTGAACTAGACTGGTGGGAAAATGTCTTATTATAATATAAGGCTCTGATTCTTGTCATATTTACCTAAGAGGAGCAGAACAGTATTGGAAACATTCAATAGCAACAATGTTTCTGTTGTTCTTTTAGTATGCCATAAACACAGGAAATAAAATATATAATACATATTTTATGGTTTATTAATTCTATGGAATCCGTTTTAGGAAGGGGGTTAGTGCACTTACATTGTAAATGAACTCACCAACCTTGTTTAAATTATGTAGGGTCTTTTTTTAGAAAGCTTCAGCCTATATGAGGCTTGACTATCTTCTTGTAGGTCTGCTTTAAATAAAATGTGCCTCTCATAATTTCAAACCTTATACCATTTAAAACCTGGTTTTTCTAATGCATATTTAAATCTCTTACTTTTTGGATTTAATTAAATCCATCATTTTGCTGGTTGAATAAACTTTATAGTAGATAAATTTAATGTGGCGTTCACCTCTACTAACAATGCAAAAATTCACCGGGTGTGGTGGCGTGCACCTGTAGTCCCAGCTACTCGGGAGAGTGAGGCGAGAGAATCTCTTGAAGCTGGGAGCAGAGTCTGCACTGAGCCAAGATCGTGCCACTGCACTGCAGCCTGGGTGACAGAGTGAGACTCTGTCTCGAAAAAAAAAAAAAAAAAATCGAAAGCATTTAGAAGGAAATGTAGGGGGATATCTTTACGATTGGGGCAGTGTCTTAGTTTGGGGTGCTCTAACAAAATGCCACAGACTGGGTGGCTTAAACAACAAACACTGATTTCTCCCAGTTCTGGAGGATAGATGGCCAAAATCAGGGTGTCAGCATGGTTGGTTTTTGGGGCGGGCCCACCTCCTGGTTCACAAAGGGCCATCTTGTATTCTCACATGGCAGAGAGCAAGAAAGACAGGAAGCAACTCTCTTGTATTCCGTCTCCCCCCCCACTTTTTTTTTTTCCAAGGTTGAGTCTCACTCTGCTGCCCAGGTTGGAGTGCAATGGTGCGAACCTGGCTCACTGCAACCTCCACCTCCCGGGTTCAAGCAGTTCTCCTTCCTCAGCCTTCTGAGTAACTGGGATTACAGGTACCTGCCACCACGCCTGGCTAATTTTTGTATTTTAGTAGAAACAGGGTTTCACCATGTTGGCCAGTTGGTCTCGAATTCCTGATCTCATGATCTGCCTGCCTCAGCCTCCCAAAGTGCTGGGACTACAGGCATGAGCCACCTTGCCCAGCCTGATTCTTTTTTTCTTATTTAAAATTTTACTTTAAGTTCCTGGATGCAAGTATAGAACATGTAGGTTTGTTACATGGGGGATATGTGTGCCATGATGGTTTGCTGCACCTATCAACCCGTCATCTAGATTTTAAGTCCCACATGCATTAGCTATTTGTCCTAATGATTCTTTAAAAATTCTCTGAATACTGGCAGTTGGCTCAAGCCTACCAGATTTAGGTCCTGAGTGAGGCCGGGGGCAGGACTGTACCTTTATTTTAAAATTTATTTAATTTATTCCATTTTTAAAGTGATAAGGTCTTGTTCTGTCACCAAGGCTGGAGTGCAAGTGGCATGATCATAGCTCACTGCAGACTTGAACTGCTGGACTCAAGTGAACCTCCTGCTTCAGCTTCCAAAGCATTGGGATTACAGGTGGGAGCCACCTGACCCTAGGCCTGTACCTTTCATCCTGTGGACTGTGGACATCAGCCACTCACTCCCAAGTGCTGGCATGGCGTTTAATTTCCAGTGACTAGCCCAGACCCTGCCGACGGGAAGATCTCAAGGGAGGCTGTTGAAGGAACAGCATGCAACTTGCCCACCCTCACATATTCACATAGGTGGGGGTGGGGGTTTGAGGAGGTGGGGGGATGGTGTGGATCAGCTTCAGGCACAGCTGTCTGGTTTCCTATGGGATGTGACCACATAACGGTCAGGCAAGAAGATGACTTAATTTATCCTCTTGGAATGATTGCTTCATAATTGTTGCTTCCCACCATTGGCATTGGAGAAAGGCTGGGCCCCAGGAGGCCAGATGAACTTTGTGTTGGCCAGGTAAGCAGAATGTCTATCCAGCTGGAGAGTAAGCAGTGAAGGTAGTGGGGAGGGGGTCATGAACCTCACTGCCTTGCCCCAGCTCTGCTTTTGGCCCTGTGGCTACAAACCTGCCCGACCAGGAGCAGCCCCCACTGGCAGCTCTGGCCCTGGGGATTTGTGAGTGTCTGGCGGGGGCACAGTGTGGAGAGGCCAAGTCCACACTATATCTAACCCTAGTGCAGCTCAGGATTCGGCTTCCCCCAGCCACTTCTCAGGGTCTCAGCTCAGGCCCTCAAGGCAGCAGGAAGATGGGCTCTCCTCACCCTCTAGGTCCCCTGTCCTCCTTTACCCCCCACTTTGCACACAGCTTCACCTAATCCAGCTACAAAGATAGAAGAGGGCAAATCACTCAGGGAGGGAGGCACCTGAGCCCCGGATCCGCCCAGACAAAGCACCCTGTGCAACTCCCACGGCTTACCACATCTGCCTGGGACTCTAGGAAAGGGCCAGAGGGCGGAAGGTGACACCAGACTTTCCAGCACGACCTTCCAGGGCCTCCAGGGAATTTCTCACGCTGTGGGGGCAAAGACTGGCCCCCCTGGGGATGTGTGTGTGTGTGAGTGTGAGGGAGCCCCAGGGCCCTACGGAGGTCAGGGTCCTCTCCATTCAGGACAGCAAGGAGAGAATGGCCTGGAGTGAGGCCCTAGGGTGCTAAAGCAGCACAGGGTATCAGAAACGGAGTCCTGGGGTGCTTAGAAGGGACCATAGGGAAGACTTGGAGTCTTGCATGCGCCTAGGGCCTCTCCTGCTAGGGCTTTCGGAGGCGGCGATCCCCGAGGGTTCCTTGCTCTAGGGTCGCCTCTTAAAACTGCGGTGGTGTGGGGGAAGAGCGAGCAGGGCGCAGTGCAGCAGCCGTGGCCCTGTGGGAGCCCCGTGTTCACCGGCTCTACCCGTGGGACAAGACCCCTGCAGCTCCCCAGCCAGCAGGGCCAGGACGTCCCTCGGGAATCTGGGTGCTCCCTAGGTCCCGGGGCATTTGGGGGTGCCGCGACTGCCAGTGTCTGAGCTCCAGCCCCGGTCCGGGAGACCAGCCCTGCGCACCCGGGTCCGGGTGCACCCGCCCGCCCTGCCGACTGTACCAGCGCCAGGGCCAGGGGGCGCAGGGCCTCGTGCACGCCCGGCTCCGATGCATCATCTTTGTATTTCATCTTTTTCCGCCGCGCCGTGTGGCCGAGAAGCGTTTCACGCCCCAGTGACCCAAGAGAGGGTGAGGCGAAGGGGAAGGTTCGGGGGCGCGTGTCCCACAGGCCCAGGTGAGTGCGCGTGCGCCCGGTAGAGGCTGCGCGGCGCGCCCGCCGGACGCCGCTTCTGGGACGTGCCCGGGGCTACTCCGCGGCAGAGGGTGTGTGCGGCTCCGCGCAGGCTCGCTGAGGAGCTCGGCTTCGCAGACGGAGCAGGCGGACTCTGCGGGACCGCAGCGCACTGAAGCAGCCCCTCTCCCCCCGCCCCGCCCTGGCCAGGTAAGCCTCGGACGCGGCCTGCCTAACTCGCCGGTGGCAGCCTGCGGCCTCGCGCGGCGCCGCAGGGACCCGGACAAGTCCGGGGCGTCGCGGAGGTTGCGGCCCGAGTGCTCCGAGCGCTGCCCTCTGGACGCCGTGGGGTTGTGGGGCGGCTGTTGCTGGGATCTAGGGGTGCAGCCCGGCGGCCCCACTCCTCTCCTACGGCCACTTCCTCCTCCCACGACCCGCGGGCGGGTGCAGCGGGGACCAGGCGGCGGCTCTCCCATCCCGCGTGGGGTCACCGGAGCGACAGGCCACTTGGTGCCAGCTCCAGGCGCTGTCTGGTGGGGGTGGGGGTGGGGGGTAGCGGTGGGGGAGGGAGGACGCCCGCTCGGGTCCCACCGGGCTGGCCGGGTCGCTGCTGCGTTCAGTGGCTGGAGAACCCGAGCCCGGACGTCGTCCCACTTCCCTTTCCTTTTAAGGCTCAGAGGGAAAACTTTCTCAATTAAAAACCCCACACCGCGTTGCCCCTGGGCTGCAGGCGCCGGGTTGGGTGTGCGCAGCTGGGCGTGGGCTCGCTGACGAGCTCGGCTTTGCTGACCGAGCGGGCGGCGGCCAGGTGGGAACGGCAGCACGCTGATGCAGCCCTGCGCCCTGGCCAGGTAAGCTGGGGGTCCCGGCAGCCTGGGGCCTCCCGCGGCGCTGCAGGGACCCGGATGCGTGGGGGCGGCAGGTGGTTGCGGCCCCAGTGCTCCCGAGCGCTGCCGTGTGGATTCGGCGGGGCCGCTGTTGCTGGGATCTGGGGGTGCAGCCCAGCGGCCCCACTCCTCTCCTACCTGCCCACTTCCCTCTCCCACGACCGGTGGGTGGCTGCAGCGGGTACTAGGCGGCGCTCTTGCATCCCCGGGTTGGGCGGGGGCGGCTCGCGGCGAATGGCCACCCGGCGCCGTCTAGAGGCGCGGTCTGGGGGTCGGCAGGGAGGTGGTGGTGTACTCGGGTCCCGCGGCCGGGCTAGGCGGGCCGCTGGTGCGTTCCCCCATCCTTGCTTGGCGCTGGCATCAAGCCGGGCGGCAACTGGATTGGGGTAGCCTCTGGGTTCGCTGTTCCCGGAGAACCCGAGCCTGGATCTTCGCCCTCTTCCCTTTCTCTTTGTAATAAGGCCCAGAGAGAAAAACTTCTCAATTAAAGACCCCATACCTCGTTGCCCTTGGGCTGCAGGCACCGGGTTGGGGGCATGACGGGGACCTGCCCCTGGGCCGGGCCCCTTCCCCAAGGCAGGCACTGCCTGGCAAGGCTGCTGGTGGTAGATCTGGCTGCAGATGGTGAAGGAGAACATTGAGGACAGTTCCTCCGACTTGGCTGTGCTGAGCTCATCTGGAGTGTTTCTGGTTCTAATCACAAATGGAACCATTTCAGTGCAGCTTATAGGTTCATGTTAGTGATGAACTTGGGTGGAGGTGGTGACACAGCTTGTTCTCTCCTCCTAGGCTCTTAGTGTATCCAGGATCCTGAGCTGCCAGGGGCCTGGCCACTCCTGCCCGGAGCCCTGCCTTGGCTGAGCTGGTTACTGCTGCGTGTCTTGGGCTGCTGGCATGCCTGTCATCAGCAGTGCACAGGTATGCATGTGTGTGCATATGTATATGCCCCACACACATACCATGCCCACCTCACACACCCCACATACTTAACCCATATACACCACACACACCGCACACATACCATACCCACCTCACGCACGTCACACACACCACACACATACCCCATAAACGCCACACAAAACATGTATTTCATACCCACCTCTCACACACACCACACATGCCATACCCACCTCACATATACCACACACATACACCATACACACAACACGCATATCATACCCACCTCATACACACTACACACATGCCATGCCCACCTCACATACACCACACACATACCCCATACACAACATACATATCATGCCCACCTTACACACACTACACACATGCCACGCCCACCTCACATACACCACACCCATACACCATACACACAACACACATATCATACCCACCTCACACATGCCATGCCCACCTCACACACACCACACACGTACCCCATACACACCACACACAACACACATATCATACCTCATACACACTACACACATGCCATGCCCACCTCACACACACCACACATGTACCCCATACATACCACAGACAACACACATCATGCCTACCTCACACACCCCACACACTAAACCCATATACACCACACACCACACACCACACACATATCATACCCACATCACACACACCACACACATACCATGCCCACCTCACACACATCACACACATACCACATACCCACCACACACAACATGCATATCATACCCACCTCTCATACCCCACACCACATATGTACCATGCTCACCTCACACACCCCACACATTTAACTCATATACACCACACACACACCACACACATACCATGCCCACCTCAAACACACACTTCATACACACCACACACAACACACATACCCACCTCACACACCACATATACACTATGTCCACCTCATACACACCACACACATAGCACCTACACACCAGACACAACACACATATCATAACCACCTCACACACCACACACTTAACCCATGTACACCACACATATACCATGCCCACCTCACACACACCATACATATATCATACCCACCTAACATACATACCCCATACACACCACACACAATACACATACTCACCTCGCATGCCACATATATACCATGCCCACCTCACACACACACCACACTTAATCCATATACACCCCCCACACACACACGCCACTTTACACACACCATACACATACCCACCTCACACACCAGACACACTTAACCCATACACACTACACGCCACATATATACCATGCCCACCTCACACACCCCATACACTTAACCCATATACACCACAAACACAGCACACACATATCATACCCACCTCACACACCCCATACACTTAACCCATATACACCACAAACACAGCACACACATATCATACCCACCTCACACACCAGACACACCCCAGATGCACTGCACACACCCCAGATACACTGCACACACCCCAGATACACCACACACATATGATACCCACCTCACACACCACACACACCCCAGATACACCGCACACGTACCATATCCACCTTACATAACACACACCACATATATACCATGCCCACCTCAGACACACCACACACTTAATTAATGTACATCACACACACCACACACATATCATACGCACCTCACACACACACCATACACATATTATACCCACCCCACACCCCAGACACCACACATACACCATGCCCACCTCACACCCCACACATTCAACCCATATACACCACACACATACCACACATATACCACGTCCACCTCACACACACCATACATATATTATACCAACCTCACACACATGTCCCATACACACCACATGCATATCATAACCACCTCACATGCACCACATATATACCATGTCCACCTCACACACACCAGGCGCTTAACCCATATGCACCACACACACACCATACACATACTTCATACACACCATGCACTCTTCACACATACTACACACCACATATACCCCATACACACCACACACACCATACACACCACACACACCTTGTACACACATGCCACACATACCACACACACCACATGATGCCTTACATGCACATTTTGTATATACCCACACACCCCCCTATATGCCACACACCTCACACGCTTCATAAATTCCATACACACAGCACACTGCACTCCACATACATATTACATCACCCATACAACACACCGCCTTCCACATAGACAACTTATTCACACTACACAGATACGACACACACAACACAATATCATATATACATACACCATACACGTGTAATGCACACCACATGCACCCCATACGCACCACACACACTACATGCACCTCATACAACCACACACACTACACACATCTCATGCATACCACACACCACAAACACTACACCATGGACACAAAAAATACACACTGAACCCTTCCACACTACATCACACTCCACACATACCACACGCACATCCCATTCACATCACAAACACCAGATACCACACACTATACACAGTACACTCCACACACTCACCACACCCTCCCCAACACCCCGTCATCAAACACGCACACACACATCCCACACTACACACTCCTTATCCACCACACCACACACACTGTATCTCACACACATACCACACACCTCTGCCATGCAAACTACTCATTGAATGAAATGGGATGATTTAGTTTTCCCCAAATAAATTGTGCCCATCTGCGCGCCCCCGGCTGTCCTGACTGGCACATCCCCTGGTCCCGCTCTCCCTTGGGTCAGCACTGCTTCCTGACGGCATGCTCACGTCCCCATCACCTGGGAGGCTGGCACCTCTGCCCCAGTGGCCACCTTCCTGGAGGAGACTGGCCTGTTTCCCACCTCTCCTGACTCCCAGAGTGGTGGCTGGTGTGGGAAGTCCTGCTTCCTCCCCTTGGTGTCTGCCCTTCCCCATGGGCTGTTTTCTCCCAGTGTTGACATCCCCCCAGGTAGAAGCGGAGACCCTCAAAGGCGCACAGGTAGGTTTGATTATAATGCTCATGAATAATAAAATGCGATTTGGTAAAAGACTCAACCAGTACAAACATCTTTAATAAAGTAAAATGTGCAAACCCCCTCTGCCCCCACTTCTTTTTCCTCCGCTCCCCGGAGGACGTGGCTGAGAAGCCTTTGGGAGGCTCCCCCTTTCTGTGTGCATTTGCGTCCGTGTATGGGTTGGGGAGTGTGTGTGTATTCTCTAGACATCTTGTAGGAGCTGGAACTGGGATCTACACACGTGTGCTGACTGTAGCTCACCTGCCATTTTCCCTCCAAAACAGGCTTTTAACATCCCTCACTGTAGTGCGTGTTGCCCTGCCTCTTTAAAAACGCAATCGACTCTTGCATCATGCAAACTCTGCCGTCATTTATTTAATCATTCTTTTATTTACGGGTACTTAGGTCGTTTTCAGTTTTTTAAAAGATTGCTGCAGTAAAAACCTTCAGCTGTCATTTTTCAAGTTGCTGTTGGAGAATGGGGTGGGAAGTGCCATCAGGCTGGAGTGGCCCTGTGTGTGGCCAGGCTTTGTGAGGTTCTGACTCTGTCCTTCCCAATGTTCGTCCCACTCTGGCTGCCCCCAGGAGATGATGGCTGCATGAGTGCCTGCCATGGCCCACTGGAAGCATGAGAGCGCAGGGAGTGGCGTGTTGGACCATGGGGCGAGGCTGGTCCCTGTACCCCACGGCCCGGAGCGAAGATGTGGAGCTGCCCTTGGAGGCCTATGGCCCCAATGGGGACTCCAGGTCCAACTATGTGAACAACACCCCAGAGGAGGAGGACCATAATGAGGGCCTCCCCAAGGAGGAGGAGGGCATCACCTACTACATCTGCTACAGCCCCAAGGAAAATAGCTACCTGGAGGGCATGGATTGCAACGGGGATGAGTACCTGGTCCATGGCACGCACCCCGTGGATACCGACAAGTGCCAGGAGCATCTTCACAACATGCCTCGTAACTGGACCAGTGAAGAGCTCAGCCCCCATTAGAACTGCAAGGCACCCAGTCACTCTCACCGCCTCGCTTCAGCATCTGCAGGGGCTGTACCAGGAGGTCCCTTGCTCTCAGGCCCCTCTGCTACCTTCCCTGGGGCAGGAAAGTCCTACTCTGGGACAGGAGAGGAGTGGCTGGACTCGGCAGGCCTGTACCCCCATGGCCACTGTGCTGAGGGCAGCCAGGACTACCCGGGCGGCCACCTGCCCATCCTAGAGGATGAGCCCTCTGTCCTGGAGTCCCACGACCAGGAAGAAGATGGCTACTACTGTCCCAGCAAAGAGGGCTACCAGGACTGCTACCCCACAGAGGCCAGCGGGAACACCGGCGCCTCCCACTACCACCTGACGCATGGGACAGAGATTTGGAGGACCAGGAGGGAGACATTGACCCTATCGTGGCCAAGATCAGGAGGAGCCTGAGCATGACCAGCATCACCAGTGCCAATGAGGCAGCAGAACTATAAAATGATAAAATGTTGCACAAGAGTGACAAACTCTAAATTCAGAGGAGTGGGTACCTCTAGGGATGGGTAGAGGAATAAGCCTGTGGGTGGAGGTTCTGGGGCCTTTATTTCATATATAAGTTTGTTTTAGTCATGAAACAAGAAAAAGTCTGAAGCAAGTACCGCTACATATGAGTATGTTCTGATAACCCCAGAGAGTGGTACCCAGGAGTTTGGCATATGGGCTCCTACAGATTTATGTATGTTTGAAATACTACTTACTTATTTTGAAATATTTATTTATTCATTCATTCATTCTTGAGATGGAGTCTTGCTCTGTTGCCCTTGACTCACTGCAACCTCTGCCTCCAGACTTCAAGCAATTCTCCCGCCTTAGCCTCCTGAGTAGCCAGGTTTACAGGTGCATGCAACCACGCCGGCATAATTTTTGTGTTTTTAGTAGAGGTGGGGATTTCACCATGTTGACCAGACTGGTCTTGAACTCCTGACCTCACGTGATCCACCTGTCTCAGCCTCCCAAAGTGATGGGGTTATAGGCATGAACCACTGCACCTGCCCTGAAGTATTTGATAATACATTTTATTTTGTTTTAAGGAGTGTCTTTTGGTGAGTGTGCCCAGGAGGAGGATGGCTGTGGAGATGGGCAGGCGCCCTCCCTGGTATACACCCAGCCCCTTGTCTAACCTAGCCAGGCCCCAGCTGCAGGCCGAGTGATTGTCCATGGGCCAGACAGGCTGACATCATACACCCACTGTGATATTAGAAGTAATAAAGTGCTTAAAATATTATGCATAACATTTCTGAGTATACACACGTGGTGGACACCAGCTTCGATATTAAAGTAATATCTTTCTAAGACGTAATAAATAATGTCATGGGGTCTTAAACATAATGTACACCATTATTTATACATTATATATAAAATCAGCTTTGATATTTAATATCTTTCTAAGATATTATGAATAATGTCATAGGGTCTTAAACATAATGTATTAGGAGTAATATGTTTAGTTCATGAAACAAAAAGTCTGAATGTATTAGGAGTAATATATCAGGAGTAATATGTTTAATGTCACAGGGTGAGTAATGTCACCCTGGCCCCCCCGGATATTACAAACCCCATGGCTGCCTGCAGCCCCCTAGCCATAGGGCGAGTAATATCACCCCGGCCCCCCCCGGATATTATGAACCCCATGGCTAGGGAGCTGCCTGCAGCCTGTTAGTCATATGGTGAGTAATATCACCCCGCTCCCCCCTGATATTATGAACTGGATATTACCCACACCGGCTATTTAGAAAATTTGGAGTAATATGATACTAGGAACCGTATCATAGGGAGAATATAATGTTATTCTGTTTCTTCTTTGATATTAGGCACAATAACACTAGTTGTAGTTCTTCCTCTGCAATATTGACAAAAATATCATGCTCGCCCCCCTTGTTATTAGAATTGAAATCACAGGGGGGTTTCACCCCATGCAATAATTAATATAATTTTTTTTGTGGACATTAGTCACAATATCACAGTGTGGTGTACACCTCTTTCCATATTGAGAGTGTTACCATATGGGCAGTAATATCATGCTCTCCTTCCCTGGATATTAGGAACAATATCACAGGGCGGGTGTACAGCGCCAGCCACATTGTGAGTAATATCATCTCTCATCCCCTAGATATTGGGAATATATATATCACAGAGGAGTTGTGCGCTTCCTGAAATATTTGGAGTAATATGCTCTCCATTTGTGGACATTAGAAACAATCTTACAGTGGTGGTATACACTTCCTGCAATATTGAGAGTATAATCATCCTCTCTCCCCTGGATATTAGGAACTGTATCACAGAAGCGTTGTATACTGCCTGTGATATTGGAACAGTATCACAGGGGCATGTAAACTTAACACAATATTGTGAGTAATATTATCCTTTCCCCCCTATTAGAAACAATATCACAAGGGGTGATACATCCCTTGTGATGTACATCCCTGGGTATTAGGCCAATATAATGGGAGGGGGAGGATATCTAGGATATTGGGAGTAATATCATCCTCTTTCCCCTTGGATATTAAGAACAATATCACAGGGGGATTGACACTGCTGCTTTATTGGGAGCAATATTATTCTGTCCCCCTGCCCCAGATATTAGGAACAGTATTAGAGAGGTGGTGTACACCCCCTGCGATATGAAGAGTAATATCCCTCTCTGCCCCTTTAGCTATTAGGACCAACGTTAAAGATGGTGTGTACACCACCAGCGATACTGGGAGGAATATTATCCTCTATGCCCCAGATACCAGGAAAAATAGCCCAGCATGGGTGTACAATTCTTACGATATTGGGAGTAACATAATCCTCCCCCCTCATATTAGAAACACCACCACAGGGGGCATGTACACCCGCTGCAATATTGGGAGCAATATAATCCTCTCCCTTCCTGGATATTAGATAAAAATATCACAGGGGGGCATATACCTTCTGTGATATTGGAAGTCATATCATCCTCTCCTCCTCTGGATATTAGAAACATTGTCATAGTGGGGGTGTACATCTCCTGTGATACTGGGAGTAATGTCATCCTCTCCGCCACCCCTGCCCTGGATATTAGGAACAATCACAGGGGTGGGGTTAACACCCCTGTGATATTAGGAGTAATATTATCCTCTTCCCATGTGGATATTAGGAACCATATCACAGAATGGGTGTATACCCTCTGAGATACTGTAATTAATATCATTCTCTCCTGGCAGTATCACAGGAAGGTTTACACCCCCTGTGATGCTGAGTGTAATATTATCATCTTCCCCTCTGGTTATTAGGAACAATATCACAGAAAGGTGTACACCTGCTGTGATTCTGGGAGTAATGTTATCTTCTTCCCTTCTGGAAATTAAGAACAGTATCACAATGGGGGTGTACATACCCTGCAATGTTGGGAGTAATATCAGCCTATCTCGGTCCGGTGCAGTGGCTCATGCCTGTAATCCCACCACTTTGAGAGGCCGAGGCAGGTGGATCACTTAAGGTCGGGAGTTTGAGACCAGCCTGACCAATGTGGAGAAACCCCATCTCTACAAAAATACAAAAAATTAACTGGGTGTGGTGGCTCATACCTATAATCCCAGCTACTTGGGAGGCTGAGTCGGAAGAATTGTTTGAACACAGGAGGCAGCGGTTGCAGTGAGCTGAGATCACACCACTGCTGCACTCCAGCCTGGCGACAGAGCAAGATTCCGTCTCAAAAAGAAAAAAAAAGGATATTTATGAACGGTTTCCAAACTTTGGAGGGATCAAGAAGGGAGAGGAAGAACAAACGCTTCCACTCACCTTTATTCACAAAATTGTGATTTACCAAATCAGTGTAAATTATAGATGACTTCTAAGAAAGACGCTTCTTAAATCTAGAAAACAAAACAAATGAAGGGCCGGGCGCGGGGCTCGCACCGGTACTTTGGGAGCCCCAGGCAGGGGGAGGGAGGGGGAATGGGGGGGGCGCAGAAGAGGCTGGGATCACCTGAAATCAGAAGTTTGCGACCAGCCTGACCAACATGGTGAAATTCCATCTCTACTAAAAATACAAAAATTAGCTGGGCCTAGTGGCGCGTGCCTGCAGTCCCAGCTACTCGGAGGCTGAAGCAGGAGAACCACTTGAACTCAGGGGACAGAGGTTGCTGGGAGCCGAGATTGAACCATTGCACTCCAGCCTGGGTGACAGAGTGAGACTGTCTGCCCCCAAAAAAGTAATACATTAGAAATGTTTTAAATACAAGTTATAAAAACATTATGTTAATAGATTTTTTTGTTTTGCTTGATCTTGCTTATCAGTTTTTTGAACCCTTAGGTTTCCTTTTTAGAGTTCTAGAAATTGGTTTTCAGTTCACTGATTTTTATTTTTATTTTTGAGACTCCGTCTCACTCTGTCTCCCAGTCTGGAGAGCAGTGGCACAATTTTGGTTCACTGCAGTCTCCACCTCCCAGATTCAAGCTATTGTCATGTCTCAGCTTCCTGAGTAGCTGGGATTACAGATATAAACCATCACACCTGGCTAATTTTTGTATTTTTAGTAGACACGGGCTGGTCTCAAACTCTTGACCACAAGTGATTCACCTGCCTTGGCCTCCCAAAGTGTTGGGATTACAGGTGTGAGATACTGCACCCAGCCCATTGATTTTTTTTTTAATATTGTATTGAGGGGGTATACGTGCAAGTTTCTCACATGCGTGTGTCACATAGTGGTGAAGCCTGGGTAGTTCATTGATGTGAGTTATCGGAAACCTGTGTTCAAGAGGGCTCCATAGAGTTTTTCCATAAAAGGCAAATTTGTGGGCAGGGCTTGGTGGCTCATGGCTGTAATCCCAGCACTTTGGGAGGCTGATGGATCATGAAGTCAGGAGCTCAAGACCAGCCTGGCCAACATGGTGAAACCCTGTCTATACTGCCACCAATTAGCTGGGCGTGGTGGCAGTCACTTGTAGTCCCAGCTACTTTGGAGGCTGAGGCAGAAGAATCACTTGAACCCAGGAGGCAGAGGTTGCAGTAGAGTAGGTGTCCAGCCTAGGTGACAGAGCAAGACTCTGTCTCAAAAAAAAAAAAAAAAGAAAAAGAAAATTTGGACTATTGCTGATTACAAATATTTTTAGAGTAGGATTCAAAATGGTAACTGTGGATGATGGAAACAGTAGTTACAATAAGAATTGATGAAAGTTCCCAATTCACAAGAAAATTTAATTTCTTATTTTATGTGCAGCATTTTAAGACAGTAACTGGAATCATGACCGACAGCATCACATCAGGACCACCAGACCATTTTTTGTTTGTTTGTGAGATGGAGTCTCGCTCTTTTGCCCAGGCTGGAGTGCAGTGGAGTGATGTCGGCTCACCAGAACCTCCTCTTCCTGGGTTCAAACAATTCTCCTGCTTCAGCCTCCTGAGTAGCTGACATTACAGGCATGCGCCACCTTGCCCGGCTAATTTTTGTATTTTTAGTAGAGACAGGGTTTCACCATGTTGGCCAGGCTGGTCTTGAACTCCTGACCTCGTGATCTGCCCTCCTTGGCTTCCCAAAGTGCTGGGATTACAGGCATGAACCATCTCACCTGGCCAGAACACCAGACTTTTTATAAATTTCATAAAATCTCCAGAAAGCATTAATAACTTTTTTTTTTTTTTTGAGATGGAGTCTCGCTCTGTCACCCAGGCTGGAGTGCAGTGGTGCCATCTCCGCTCACTGCAACCTCTGCCTCCCTGATGCAAGCAATTCTCCTGCCTCAGCCTTCCAAGTAGCTGGGACTACAGGCATGTGTCAGCATGCCTGGCTAATTTTTGCATTTTTAGTAGAGGCATGGTTTCACCATATTGGTCAGGTGGGTCTCGAACTCTTTGACCTCAGTTAGTCCACCTGCCTCAGTCTCCCAAAGCACTGGGATTATAGGCATGAGTGACCATGCCAAGCCATTAATAACATGTTTATACACATATGACTTTAGCAAATATTTAGCATAACAATCAGAATTACAAATCATGACATATTAAAATTGTATAAATGTATATAATTTTTGGAACATGTGTATCAACGATATACCCATAAATATAACTGAGATGAGATCTACTGTCAACTCGTCTGACAATGCCCTCCCATGCAGTATCACCACATTTGACAATGCCTGCCCATACAACCTGCCAAATAAATCTAGTCATTTAGTATCTCTACAAGATCAGAGATACGTTCTTTAGACTCCCCAAGGGACCCAGCTGAAAAATCCCAAAGTTAATTTTAAACCAAAAATACTTGATTTAGGATTTTGATGCTGGCGAAACCCATCAAAAATATCAAGTTTGAAAACACTTGATCAGAAGAGAATCACAGGTCACTTTTAAAAGAATATTCTGACTGGGCACAGTGGCTGATGCCTGTAATCCCAGCACTTTAGGAGAACACCGTGGGTGGATCACAAGGTCAGGAGATCAAGACCATTTTGGCAAACATGGTGAAACGCCATCTCTACTAAAAATAAAAAAAATTAGCCAGGCATGATGACACATATCTGTAGTCCCAGCTACTTAGGAGGCTGAGGCAGGAGAAACGCTTGAACCCAGGAGATGGAGGTTTTAGTGAGCCAAGATTGTGCCACTGCACTGCAGCCTGGGCGACAGAGCAAGACTCAGTCTCAAAAATAAATAAATATAAAGAATATTCATTTAACCAGAGACTTCAAAGGCAATACAGAAAGTTACGTGGGTATAAAAACCTTAACCCTTTAGGCCACGTGCAGTGGCTCACGCCTGTAATCCCAGCACTTTGGGAGGCCGAGGTGGATGGATCACCTGAGTTCAGGAGTTCAAGACCAGCCTGGCCAACATGGTGAAACCCCGTCCCTACTAAAAATACAAAAATTAGCTGGGCATGGTGGTGCATGCCTGTAATCCCAGCTACTAGGAAGGCTGAGGCATGAGGATCACTTGAATCTGGGAGGCAGAGGTTGCAGTGAGCTGAGATCATGCCACTACATTTCAACCTAGGCAACAGAGAGAGACTCAGTCTCAAAAACAAACAAAAAAACCTTTAGCCCTTTTAAAACTCAGTTTTGCTCAGTAATCAGAAAGAATACTTGAATTTAATCAAATGCAGGATGAGTGTGTACAGGATTATGGGTGTACACACATGATGACTTTGGTCATATCTCCATTTGCCACCTGATTAAGCATTAGAATGGCATCTTACTGACCGGAAAGCTAGTATTATAGGTGGTATCGGAGGCACTCTTGGACTTGAGACAAGAATATTGTTGCGTAGAAATGTCATCAATTGTATTAGAATGAGATAGCTTTGATTGGCTGCGAAGTCTCAACACTTACTAGCTGTGTCACATTGGACAAAGTGCTTCATCATTCTGAGACTTAGTTTTTTGTTGTTGTTTGTTTGTTTGTTTTGAGACGGAGTTTTCCTCTTGTCACCCAGGCTGGAGTGCAATGGCGCGATCTTGGCTCACTGCAACCTCCTCCTCCTGGGTTCAAGTGATTCTCCCTCAACCACTGGAGTCCTGGGATTACAGGCATCTGTTACTATGCTCAGCTAACTTTTTTATTTTTAGTAGAGACACGGTTTCACCATGTTGGCCAGGCTGGTCTCAAACTCCTGATCTCAGGTGATCCATCTGCCTTGGCCCTCCAAAGTGCTGGGATTCCAAGCGTGAGCCACCATGCCTGTCCAAGACTCAGCTTTTCAGGGAAAAGTAACTATGTCTTTTGTAAGCTTGCTAGCAGGTTTAAGTGTAATAATGTGTAGGAATGACTTTGCACTGTGTCTAACATGTAGTAACAGCTTAATTAATGTTAACCCTTATCATTATTGTATAAGAATGTAAGTTACAGAAGAGAGGAACCCTGTCAGTTTGTTCTCTGCTAGAGCCCAAGACCATGAACCGTGGCTGGCATATAGTAGGCATTTATTTATTTTTTATTATTTCATTTTATTTATTTAGAGATGGAGTCTTGCTCTGTTGCCCAGGCTGGAGTGCAGCAGTGTTTATTGAGCACCTGCCATGTACAAGGCCTTGTGTGATTAAATACAGTTATGATTAATAATATAAAAATGACAAATCACTGACACTTTTTAGAGGAAAGTTTTTTTTTCCGTAGGTTTCAGGCACAGAACTGTATATGCAATAATAGTAAAACTGATCCCACATATTATGAGAGAAATGATGATACATTTAAATGAGTTGGATGTTTTAGAGGCATTATCTCATGAATCCTTGACAGAAACCGAATGAGGAATGAAATTTATTGTTCCCATTTCACACAGAAGGAAACAGAGGTGAAGAGGGGTAAAGTAATTTTGTATGGCATGAAGTAGAAATCCAAAGTACAGGAATTTGAACTTGGTTCTGACCTTTTCTGAGGCCCCCCATGCTCTTGACCACTTTAGACTCAAGCATCACCTCGTTTTTCCACTCATTCAACAAACTTTTTTTAAAAAATTGTCTAATAGGTTGGCACTCATCATGAGCTTCTGTTCCTGTTCTGCAAGTGGTGAAGCCCTCTATTGTCCTGACCCCACAGCTCCTGTCCCATGACCAGGGCCAGCTCACCAAGATCTGCAGTAGCACATAAAGTCAGTGCCATCCCCCATGCAAGTACCTGAGGAAGGTGAGTCAGCACAGACAGATGAGGCCTGGCGCCCTTGAACAGTTCCTTGCCTCGGCTGCCCCACATCTCACAGGGGGCCATGCTGGGGGAAGCATAGGCAGTCACAGTACTGGCTTTTTCCTTCCATACAAGTGTCTTAGGGATGGGGCAGAGTAGTTGACTTATTTGGATAAAAACTGCTATCTTGTGTCAGAAACTCAAAAAGAATCACTGCTGACATGTTAACCTAAAGAAAAACAACCAGACAAGTGCCCAACAATACTTAAAAAGGTTATTTATTTATTTGAGACAGAGCCTTGCTCTCTTGCCCAGGCTGGAGTGCAATAGTGTGATCTTGGCTCATTGCAACCTCTGCCTCCTGAGTCCAAGCAATTCTCCTGACTCAGCCTCCCAAGTAGCTGGAACTATAAGCGTGTGCCACCACACCTGGCAAATTTTTGTATTTTTAGTAGAGACAGGGTTTTGCCATGTTGGCCAAGCCAGTATTGAACTCCTGACCTCAGACAATCCTCCTGCCTCATCCTCCCAAAGGTCTGGGATTAAAGGGGTGAGCCACTGTGCTTGGCCTAAAGGTTACTTATTATCCAGCAAAATTTAGGATGGGTGTGATGGCTCTTGCCTATAATCCCAGCACATTGGGAAGCAGAGGTGGGTGGATCACCTGAGGTTAGGAGTTCAAAAGCAGCCTGACCAGTATGGCGAAATATCGTCTCTACTAAAAATACAAAAATTAGCTAGGCATGGTGGTACACACCTGTAGTCCCAGCTAGTCAGGATGCAGAGACAGAAGAACTGCTTGGACCCGGGAGGCAGAGGTTGCAATGAGCTGAGATTGTGCCACTGCACTCCAACCTGGGCAAAGAGCAAGTCTCTGTCAAAAAAATTTTTTTTAAATTAAAAAAATAAAATTATCCTGCAAAATTTGAAAAGGAAACAAATCAGCAGCTTCTAAACTATTTTTTAACATGACTCATAATAAATTCTATATTACATAAATATGTTCTGTATTTCTGAATAAAAGGCTTAACAAAGTCATATTTACAACATGTAATACATATTTTTTATTCTACTTCATTTGTTTTGAATGCTCTTTGCAATGTACAAAAAGCCCAATAGTAATGATTAAATTACTCATTAAATTGAGCATTATCTTGTCATTTAAAATGATAATCTCAAAAATGATCTTTTGTTTTTGAGCTAAAAATATTTTAATGATATACTGTTTAAGAGAAAAACACTGGCTATGAAAGAATATACATGATTTATTATTTTTTGAAACACAGTCTCTGTCACTCAGGCTGAAATGCAATGTTGTGATCTCAGCTCACTGCCACCTCTGCCTCCCTGGGTTCAAGTGATTCTCCTGCCTCAGCCTCCTGAGTAGCTGGGATTACAGGTGCACATCACCACACCTGGCTAACTTTTGTATTTTTTAGTAGAGACAGGATTTCACCATATTGGCCAGATTGATCTTGAACTCCTGAGCTTGTGATCTGCCCAACATGGCCTCCCAAAGTCCTGGGATTTCAGGCATGAGCCACTATGCCTGTACCATAGTTTTATCTATCTGTTTAAAAATAAATATTGAAAGAATACATATGCAAATAAGTTTACATTTCTCTTTTTGTAATACATTGCTGCATTGTCTGGGTATTGACAATCAATTTGCATTCTGAAGCTACATGGCTAATGTTGAGTACTCACTGTGTGCGCCAGGCCCTGGGCTCAGTGCTCTACATGCATTTTTATTTCATTTAATTCTCTCCACAACCTGAGATAATATAGCCAACCCATTTTACAGAGTTGAAACTGAGGCTCAGAGACTTAAAGTTAAATGCCTGAGGTTGCAGTTGATAAGAGGCAGAGCTGGAATTGAAGCCTATGTGTGCCTGACAACCATTTCATGTTCCGATAGTAAGCTAGTCTGCTTCACAGACCATGGAATAGATGGTGCGTGCCTGCTAGGATGGACTAGGTATCACTGTAGGTAATAAACAGCCTCAAACAATGGAAATTTACAACACTGAAGGCTCTTTATCTGCTCATGCTGTATGTCCTCCATAGCTCTCCTGGGCTCTGTGCTCCACATCCCCTCATCTGCCACCAGAATAAAGAAGCAGCCTCCATATGGGACCTGTCAGCAGCTCTAGGAAATGAAGGAAGGGATGGCCAGTCCCAATGGCTCCCAACTCTTTTTGCCTTGAGGTGACATACTTTACTTCCACTCACATCTCCTGAGTCAAAGCAAATTCCATAGCTACCTCCACTTTCAAGGGGTCCAGAGGAGAACCTGAAATACTCGGTGGACTCCGTTAGGGCCACCATACAGTATCAGCCTGTGTGGGAGACTGTGGAGGGGCAGAGGAGGAGAGTGGAGAATTGATGGGAAATGACAGCAGGACTGTGTCACTGTACATTTGCTTAATCCTCTACCAGGTAGAGTTTTTCCCAGAGCTACACAAAAATCATCAGTGGCATGATCAAATGGCGTAAATTTCAGAAAAAGCAGTTTGTTCAGATGTGATCAGCAGTGAACTCAGGAATCAACTGAGTGGCATTGAGTCAGCAAATCTCTGACTGCCTCAGTTACCCCATATGATAGTGGTGAAGATGGGAGCATTGAGAGAGTTGATTTGGAAGGATATCAGGAGTGTGAACATTCAATATTTTAGTCCCTTAAGTTAAATACAGGCACTATCTTTCCTGCAAGTCCCCTTTTTCTTTCAGATTGCACAGGTGAGAATGCTCAGATTAGGGTTGGAGGTCATAAAATATTGGCTCCCACACCAACAGCTCCCCTGTGTCGTGCATGCATTCTGTGCATTTTCCTCTGCTAAACGCTGTCCCGAAACATCATGGGGCCTGATTCTTCCTCCTTGTTCCAATGGCCCTGGGTGACTCAAGTGCCCATTCAATGACCAGGACACAGAGGTCTTAGAGGGATGCTCCGTGAGACCCCAGGTGCCAGCCGCTGCCCTGTCAAAGTGTGAGGCAAGGGACAGGGCATCATCTGTGGGGGCAGTGGTCAGCCAGGCTTGGTGACTTTACTTGGTGGACAGATGATTCTACACCTGCCACTGCCTCTGTGCCTGTTTCTGCTACTGATGCTCCAGTGGCTGCCCCAGCATCCCAGACTAGGCCCAGTGCCACTGAAGACAGACCTGGCCCCTGGGGACCCAGGAGACCTACAGGACTCACTCAGCTGTCCCCAGGAGTCCTCAGACCCTCATTCTTATTAAAGACCTAAGAGCCCTTCCCCGTGGCCTTCCCTCAACAGCTGTAAATGATGATTTACTGCTGTTATTATCATTACTCTCTTTAGTGGCCAAGGACCTTCCAAGGTGCCAGCTCTGGAAGGAAAGATGTCCTTGGGAGGTGATGGCACTCAACACAGGTGCTCAACAGGTTGCTTCCTCCTATCCTCAGACAGTCTTTGACACAGCCATTGACACTCCCATTGTGAGGAAGAAAGCCAGCTGAGGGTTACACAGCTGGTCAGCAGCACAGCTGGTCTCAAATCTAAGGTGCCTGGCCCTGCCTCCATGAGGGACCTGCCTGCAAGGGAGGTTGACCCTGGCTTTGGGGAGCCTTTCTTGGGCTGCATGAATCACCTCCCCTGTTGGAGGCCCCAAACTCTGCTCATGTCTCATTCCTTGCCCTGTCTCTGCTTGGGCTATAATCAAGGTGAACCCAGCAACCCTTCATGGATATTGTGGTACTCTCTCCCATTCACTTTTGGGCTAATCTGACTTCAACACCCACTAACTTGGTCTCTCCTTTTACAACCAAGACAACCCAAATCGGGCTCTTTATGCAGGTGACAGCAGACGAATAGAATTGAATGCCATAGTTGTGTTATCCCTGTTTTCCGTTTTGCTTGTGTCTCAGGGTTGATTTTCTATTTATGGTAAAGGCATTTGCTTTCCATTTGTAGTATGAATAGAATATTTGCAGTTTATAATAACTTTATGTGATAGTAAATTGTAAGGAGATTTAAAGCAGCGGTTTTCAGCTGTGAGAGGCCTGAGTAAGTTTGCGCACGCTCTGTGTGATGAGGCAGAAGCAGGCCTTTGGGAAGTTTAGCTGAGGATGGGTCCAAGAAAGATAATGGACAGTGGGGATCTGATCTGCTCACCAGACCCCTGGGTCCTGCCCACCTGCTTGGCACTCCCCACCCATCACTCATAATGCTGCCAAACCCTCTGAGTATTGTGGCCAAATCCCACAGGAGAGAGGCTGAACTTTGTCTCTTGAAATACACAGACTCCTTCAACATGCCTAGGAGCTAAACCGTGAGAGTCAACTTGGTTTTCTCCCCCTCATTAGGGTTGAGAATTAAAAGTCCACCCTCACAGGAAGTAAGATAATATGGATAAGTGACATCAATACGCTGTTTCAGATGTTAACATTTCTAGGTGGGTTACAGGTGATTTGAGACCACACAACCTTGTGCCACACAGTGGAGTTCCCTGGCCAGAGGGAGACATTTGATTACCATGTTATGATCTTATCACTGGGTGTAAAGGCAGTCTTGTTTCATTTTGGGTTCTTCTGTTGATATCTTATAAGGGCACTTTGAATTTCCAAGCATATAATACTTTTTGGTTAGCTTTTAATTATTGACTTCTAGCACAATTCTGTGATCAGAAACCTGCTGTGTGATTGGATTTGTCTGAAATGTATGAAGATTTGCTTGATGAACAAAATAAGTTGGGTTAATTTTTGTAAATATACCATGCATGCTTAAAACCACTGTAGCTCCAACATTTGTTCCCAAGATACAGGATGATTGACAGAGGGCTCCATGGATGTGATGGAGATGGTTTTCTATTGGGACCTTCCGCATCCTTCTGATGTTTTGTTACTATGAATATGAATGGCTGAGAGGGAGCTGTGGAGCCTCGCCTCCCACTCTGCTTGTGTGTCAGGTTATTCCTGCCATCCTGCCATCATTTGTTTCTTATGTTTTGCAGCCAAGGCAGACCATGAGAAACCCTGGGAGCTCAGGAAGGAAGGAGCTGCCAATAAACAGGGACAGGGAGCTGGTGGGGAAGACCAGAAATCAGGTCTGTGAAGGTTCCAGAGAGGACCTGTCCTTGGGAAGTGTGTGGGGGACTGAGATGGGGGAGGGGCATTGGAGGACGCAGGTGCTCCGTGGAATGTCCACTGTGAGGTACCACATTCCGGAGCTGGGGATTGGTGGAGAGGGAGTATAAAGCCCAGGGTTGTTCAGGCAGTGCCAAACAGGAGAAGGTGTGGTGGAAACCAGAGCCCTGGTCTCCATCTAATTGCTCCTGAGCCTCCTGCTTTCTTGCCCCACGTGTTCTGTTGCTTCCCTGATAGACTTTCTCCCTGACTTGTAGCTGAACCTCCCACTAGCCGTTGAAGACTTAGTTTGAACCAGATCCTTTCCCAGACCCCGTCCTCCATGTGACCAACATCCCCCCTTCCCCTCCCATCCCTTCCCTCCCATCTCCCTCTCCAATTCCGATCCTACCCCATCTCCATCCCCTTCCCTCCCCCAGCCTTAAGCCATCCCCACCTCTGTCCTGGCCACCTCAGGGCACCCTGAGAGGACCAGGACATGCGGGTGCAGTGGCTGTTCTTTTGGCTCCTCCTGCTGGGGTTTCCCAGCCATCAATCCACCCATGTGAGTAGATACTGGACCCACGGGATTTCTTCCTTGTTATTGGGTAGTGTCATGCGGCAAACTACACAGTGCAGGCCTGTAATTTCAGTGCTTTGAGGGGTTAAGGTGGGCAGATCACCTGAGTCCAGGAGTTTAAGACTAGCCTGGACAGAGCCAAACCCCATTTCTCCAAAAGATTCCAAAAAAGATTAGTTGGATGCCTACTGCAATCTTGTCTCAAACAAAATGAACCAAAACAAAGTGAAATGTCATTTGAGTTTTGTGTCATCTGGTTTGATGACTTTTTAGAAACCTCTGCATCATTGGTGTCTTCTGCTCTGGGGGCTGCCTCTAGGGAGTCTGTGTCCTGTCAGTGTGATGGGGGCTGAGAAGCCCACCAGATGGAGAGGAAAGGGCTGCACCTGCTGGGAGGTTTGCAATGCAGGAGTCACTAGGAGTGACATGACCAGGATGTGAATGAGGATTGTATTGTCCTTTGTTTTGTAAAATGTGTATGGTGCAGATCATTGATTGACCCAAAGGAGAAAGGGTCTTAAAGTCTTTATGTTACCCAAATATAAAGAAATGACGGGCCAGGTGTGGCGGCTCACGCCTGTAATTGGGAGGCCGAGGCCAGTGGATCAGTTGAGGTCAGGAGTTCCAGACCAGCTTGACCAACATAGTGAAACCCTGTCCCTACTAAAAATATAAAAATTAGCCAGGCATGGTGGCAAGTGCCTGTAATACCAGCTAATCAGGAGGCTGAGGCAGGAGAATGGCTTGAACCCAGGTGGCAGAGGCTGCAGTGAGCTGAGATTGTGTCACCGCACTCTAGCCTGGGCAACTGAGTGGGACACTGTCAAAAAAAAATCACAAAAAAATTCTTTCTTTTTTTGATATAAAATGTCCCTCTTGTCTCCCAGGCTGGAGTGCAATGGCACGATCTTAGCTCACTGCAACCTCCGACACCTGAGGTTCAAGCAATTCTTCTGCCTCAGCCTCCTGAGTAGCTGGGATTCCAGGCATCTGCCACCACTCCTGACTAATTTGTGTATTTTTGGCAGAAATGAGGTTTCACCATGTTGGCCAGGCTGGTCTGGAACTCCTGACCTGAGGTGATCCGCTAGCCTCAGCCTCCCAAAGTGCTGGGATTATAGGCATGAGCCACTGTGCCTGGCCTTTTGTGATTTTTTTTTTTTTTTTAGATCATTACCTATTGTTAATGTTAATGTATTTTATGTGTGGCCTAAGAGAAGTTTCCTTCTTTTAATATTGTCCAGGGAAGCCAAAAAATTGGATATCCCTGCTTTATGTCAAGAAAAAAAGACACTCTACATTTGAAATGCCTAAAAACACTACCAGCCATGCAAAAAACATGAGACTGGTAACTTCCAATCTTTCTTGAAGCAGTGGAATCCCCTGGTGATATCTGAGGGGCGTGGTTACCTCTTGGAGGAGGTTGATGGTTTCTAAAGATTATTATTTTTTACTGAAATATTGTAAATGTTATTGACCTTTTCATTATTTCAACTATTATTATTCCAGGTGATCAGTTTTCTACTAGATTATTTGTATCCTGGGCATGACTTTCTTGGCATTCTGTGGATTATTATCACTATTGTGTTTCTGGGAGTTTCTACAGTTGGCCTTTTCCTCTGAAAAATTAGCTTCTGTGTGAGTATACTAACTTCCTGTAGAGGTATACTTGTAATCACAAATAAGAAGAAATTATTTAAAACAATTCATGGTTCTGGACTTTATTATTAATATTGGGTTTTACCAAAAACATCAGGGAAATGATTTATTAGCATAAGAATTATAAAAATATCTGCCATTTACATTATGAAAATTAAATAGGTTGGTTTTTGTTTAATAGAATGTCAACAGAGCTTTGGGTCAAAAATAATTTTTTTTTTAACCTTTGTGCTCTTTATCAGAAATGCAGTATGAAGTTTTGGCACTTAAATAGGAAATTCTGTCTAAACTTTTCTGCTTTATAATTCTATTGTATGGCTGGAAGGAAAGCTTTTACTTTCCTCTCTAAAGGTTCACTGTAGAAATGAACTAACAACAGACAGCTTAACAGGAGAAGAAAAACATAGAACAGGCATAAACATGGGAACCAGGTGAAAAATGAGACTGCAAGAAGGGTCAGGTCAGATGCTTGATGCTTAAAGAACACCCTCTTTTCAGGAGAGAGGGTGATAGATGGAGATGGAGGCAACTTAGAGGGGGAGTAAGTGATTTTTAGGGGAAATGAAAGATCCCAAGGAACAAACAGTTGGCCTGAGACAAAGCTCCTCTGAGATCATAGGGAAGAGGCGACAAACTGCAGGAAGGTGAAGGGCAGAGCTGCACTGCCTCTCGTGTTGCAGAGAAAGCCCCAGAGAATCTGTTGGAACTGCCCTTCAGAGAATCAATAAAAAGTGTATCTGGGCAGGGTCATTTGAAATGATGTCACTCAAAGTGCATGTTCCTGGTTGCAGGTGGAGAGAGATCAGTATGTCCAAAGTCTGTACTTGATAGGAATTTGGCTGCTAAGTTGTGCCACCATTTGAGCCTTTTTGTCCGTTGGGTAAATTGAGCTGTACATTTTCTCTTGCTGTTCGTGACAGTAAAAATGTGGTTGTCTGGGGGCTGACCCTCCTTCAGAACAATGATCCAAGAAAAAAGCACTAATCCCACAATGCTATATTTAAGGGAAGAGGAAGTATGTTTTATTTTTACAACCTAGATAATTACCTACCATTCAGGACCGCCTTTCAAGATATGTAGAAAACAGAAAATAGATGAGTTATTAAGATATCTAGGCACATTTAACAGTCTCTCCTTTTTTTTTTTTTTTTTTTTTAAACAGAGTCTCAGTCTCTGGCCTCGGCTGGAGTGCAGTGGCACAATCTCAGCCCATTGCAACCTCTGCCTCCCAGGTTCCAGTGAGTCTCCTGCCCCAGCCTCCCAAGTAGCTTGAATTACAAGCGTGCACCACCATGCCCAGCTAATTTTGTATTTATGGTAGAGACAGGATTTCACCATTTTTGCCAGGCTGGTCTTGAACTCTGAACTCACTTGATCCACCCACCTCAGGCTACCGAAGTACTGGGATTACAGGTGTGAGCCGCCATGCCCTGCCGAATTTAACAGTCTCTACCCCACTTAGTCCTGAACAGAGAATTGTTAATATAAATTGGGGGAAGTTTTCTTTTTTTTTTTTTTTTTGACAGAGTCTGGCTCTGTCACCCAGACTGGAGTTATAATGGTGTGATCTTGGCTCACTGCAACCTCTACCTCCTGGATTTAAGTGATTCTCCTGCCTCAGCAGGAACGACAGGCGGTCGACATCACAACCAGCTAATTTTTGTATTTTTAGTAGAGGTGGGGTTTCAGCATGTTTGCCAGGCTGGTCTCAAACTCCCAATCTCAAGTGATCCATCTGCCTCAGCGTCTCAAGGTGCTGGGGTTACAAGCATGAACCACCATGTCCAGGGAGGGGATGTTTTTTAATGTACCACTTCTGATTTTAATTTGTATTACCTGGGAGTTAAAATCTGAAAAATCGGATTCTACAAAGAACTTGAAAGATGTTCTTTCAGGCTGGGCGTGGTGGCTTTTTTAGATGGCCCCTTCTGCAAGAAAGGCTCTTGACCACTGGGTAAGTTTTGTTTGTTTATTTGTTTTCCTTGCTTTGGGGCATAGTCAGCCAGGTCAGTACATGGATGTATTTTTCTCCCCACAGCTCTGTGCTCAAGCCTTGGATAGGGAGATGGCAGAGAGGAAGGCTGCCTACAAGCAGCACAGGTAGGTCATTGTGATGGATTTTTTTTCTTTTTGAGCTGGAGTCTGGCTCTGTTGCTCAGAGTGGAGTGCAGTGGTGCAATCTCAGCTTATTGCAACCTCCACCTCCTAGGTTCAAGTAATTCTCTGCCTCAGGCTCCTGAGTAGATGGAATTAAAAACATGTGCCACTATGCCTGACTAATTTTGTATTTTTAGTAGAGACAGTTTCTCCATGTTGATCAGGCTTCTCTCAAACTCCTGACCTTAGGTGATCCACCCACCTCAGCCTCCCAAAGTGCTGGGATTGCAGGCATGAGTCATCTCACCCAGTTGTGATGGTCATTTTTAAGGATTTTTTTTTTTTTTAAGATGAAGCTTTGAGTGTCTAGTAAAGAACGTGGTGTTTTAATTCTTCTTCAAGTCAATTCTTTCTCTGTCTTCTGGATGGAAAATGAGGAAAAAGCAGAGAGTGCCAGAGAGACACATGAGTGAGGAGCCAGCCCAGAAATGCCTGGGCCTAGAGAACCCTTTCTGCGAAGGCAGCTGCTTACTTTGTGCTGCACAGTCCACACACCCTGCTTCTCCTTTTGGAGGTGAGGTCTCAGGTGGGGTAATTGTTATGTTTCCTGGAAACAGTTTCAAGCACTTATGAAGAGAAAAGTTGTCCCGCTGGGTGGCAGGATCCCATTTTTCTCAGGTGCCCTAGATGAATGGCTCTTGGCTGGTCCCCTGTGAATGGTGGAGCTCAGGCCCCTCCACTGACTGTGGACATTGCCCCACCCTGACGTCTTGGTTACTTTTAACTGTAAAGATGAGCCTGCAAGGCAAATGGGCCAGCTCCCCTTCCCACCTTGAGTCAGTGTGAAGGCTTTATTTTTCTTTCACTTGAGAAAAGTAACAACAATAGCATTTTAGAATGGGAGCTGAAAGTGCTGATGAGAGCAGAGATTTTCACGCAATGTCTTCATGGATCAATAAAGCAGTACCATGAGATCTGCTTTAAGAAAAGAAGCATTTATTAGCACTCTTTAGAACTTCCTTCATTGTTTTTGCTTGTTTAAATTGTTTATTGTGAATTATATCACTGCTTTAGTAAGCTAAATTTCTATGTAATCTTACTCCTCTAACATTTGAAGTGTGACCCTAAAACTTTCCAGTTGATTTCTTTCTTTTCCTTCCCTCCCTCCCTCCCTCCCTCCCTCCCTTCCTTCCTTCCTCCCTCCCTCCCTTCCTTCTTCCTTTTTTTTCTCTTTCTTTCTTTTCTTTTTGAAAACCTTGCCCTGTCACCCAGGCTGAAGTACAGTGGCACAATTTTTGCTCACTACAACCTCCACCTCCCGGGTTCAAGCAAACCTCCTGCCTCAGCCTCCCAAGTAGCTGGGACTACATGCACCTGCCACTATGCCTGGAAAATTTTTTCTTTTTGTATTTTTAGTAGAGACAGAATTTTACCATATTGGCCAGGCTTGTCTCTGACTCTTGACCTTAAGTGATCTGCCCACCTCAGCCTTCCAAAGTGCTGGGATTACAAGTGTGAGCCACTGCACCCAGCCTCCATTTAGCTTCTGTAGCTCTGACCTTCTCTCATGACTGTTAGTCTCTTTGTGTTCATTTCTGTTCATAATTATTGACAATGCCTGGTGAGATATGCTGGTTAGATTCACTGTGAATCCACAGAATTTTAAATGCCCCTATAGCTTGAAGGAAAGGATCAGTGCTGCTCCTGTCCTGGGCCTATAGACGTTCTTCCCATCCATGGCTGTTTCTATTTTAATTTTGAGTCTGTGCTCACATGATGGGTGATTTCCTTTGATATGTACTGGGAACCCCTGATTTAAAGCTCATTTCCAGCTGGTTAGAGCCCGACCTGTCCACAGCCTGTTGAGAGATAAGAAAACCCCTGGACCAGGGCTCTGCGGTATCTTCCTCAAGGCTGAGGCCCAGAGGGTTTCAGGGTCCTCTGAGGCATCTGGTCAATAAACCCTGTGCCTCTGGTAAGAGACCTGAGTGTGGCAAAGAGAGTGAGATGGCAGTGGAGGGTGTGGAGGGTTTTGTATTCTGTACAGAACATGCAAGCCAGACTTAGCCCCATTCCCTTCTCTGGCCCTCAGCAGATTCAGGACCTCATTTGGTTCCCATGAGGAACAGCAGCTGCATCCCAACTGAAAACGCAGAGAAGACAAAGGTAAATGCTGGGGTCATTTTCACTCTGCCTGTATCAGGACACTGTAGTCTTTTCCTCCATCGCCCTCTCCTGGCCTGGCTTCTGCTCCGTGGGTTCTGTGATACCTTTTCTGTCTGGACTTTTTCAGAAGGAAAATCTTCCCCATAAGCTTTCGGCTTCTCCATTCCCAGCTAGTTATCTTGAGTGGCACCTCCAGAAGCCATAAGTGCTTAGGGACTGAGGGCTGAAGGGCTTTTACTGTTCTGTTTCCAGAAATAACACGAGGAATGCTGCTGACCTCCACTGCTCTAGGTCTCATGGCCCAGTGAACTCTGACTGATTTCTTTTACTCAAGATGTTGTGGGGTCTATTTCTCAAATATATACGATTTTTAAATATTTTGCTGTGATTTTGTTTGTTTTCTTCTGTAAAGTAGGTGATTAACATTTGAAATATCTGCTGTATTCCCAGAAGTGATGAAAGTGAAAACTCATTAATCCAACATTAATATGTGCTTTGTGCAATTCTGAATGATCTTCGACAAGGACAATTCCATAGTTCATCACAGTCCCATTCCTGTTGGGAACTGTGTTGTGCAAAAACGCCTTCACCCCCCTTTGGTGGTGCCCCTGATCTAATACTCTAAGTGTCAGAGTTTCCATATTTGTAACAGAAAATATGCCTCGACTGTGAGTTAGTGAAAGTGAATGTAACCTATTACCCACAGCGACAATTCCCATCGAAGGCCTTAAATGATGCTCAGCTATGCTGGTTCTCGTGTGTCCTCTGTACCTTCAACAGCTGTCAAGTCCTATGATGACACATGATGGGAACTGTACACTTGAAATCAAACACATTTCTAAAACTTGCTTTTTTTCAGAATTCCCACCTCATTTTTCCATAGACAAAAGTATTCTTTGTGTCATAATGCACTTAAAATTTGTATTACCTGGGAGTTAAAAGAAATGTTCTAGCCATGCCTAACTGACTTCTGTATGTTGATTGTTCTGTCAGAAAACCCTCTCCCAGTTCTCCTGCATGTCTTCAGGAGTCCAGATTTCCCCAGAGCCATTTGTGCTCACAGGTGGCACTCACAGAGTGAAGAAGACCATTTGTCAAGAAGGGAAGAAGAGGGGAAATGAGAGGGTTCTGCAAGGAGAGCTGAAATCAACTTCCACTCTGCCTCCTGCAAGCTGTGTGACCCTGGGCACATGCTCTCCTTCCTCAGGGAGCTTCTGTTTTCTTAGCAGGGTGGTCACACTGACTTGTAGAGTTCTGACAATCAGAGACAGAACATAAAAGGCCTGGTGAACGTCCTCCAAAAAGAAGCTACAACACATGTGTGGACAATGGGCTTTTCATGCCTCTCTTACTCACTGTTTATCTGATGCAAGGAGCATGCTCTGGTGATGGGGGTGAGGGAGGAATGAGGATAGATATAGAAACTCCTATGTCTGAAACATGCTTCTTCCTTACTGTGTTATGACTCTGTCTTCCCTGGGGCAGGCCCCCAGCCTGCCTACATTTGCAGACAGACAGTGGCATGTGGAGAAAACACTTTGTCCCAATGAGTTTTCTTCACTCCCCAGTTGTCGGTGGTACTTAGTGGAAGGGTGACTTCTTGACACTAATGCTGCTATTTTGAAACCTGGAGGATGGAAAGGTGCAAAAAACTATCAGCAGCAACATAAGGTGCAGACTGTGTTGTTGGTGGTGGTTCTGTCCGTCAAATTAATGTTTCAAAACATTTCCTCCTTCTGCCTGCAGGTTAACATGGCTGCAGCACAGCATCATCGTTGCTCAGGATTGCCCTACTCACCCTACCTCATGGATGACCCTTCAAGAACCACTGATGAGTTGCCGGCCACCTCCTCCATCTGGGTGTCACCTGAGAGCTCAAACATTCCCATCAGCTAAAGGTGTTCTGGGACTTCTGACAACTCCTTGACTCCAGTGTCCACTAGGACCTCAGCCACCTTCTCCAGCTGATAATTTTTGGGACCACAGACACCTACACATGAATGTCTTCTGGCACCTCTACCACCTTCTGCAGCCGATGATTTTCTGAGCCCATACACACTCCACCCGAGTGTCTTCTGGTACCTCTGCCACCTACAGATGATGATTTTTCGAGATCACAGACAACTACACACAAGTGTCTTCTGTTACCTCTACCACCTTTAAACAGTGATTTTCTGAGTCCATAAAAACTCCACCTGAGTGTCTTCTGGTACCTCTACCATCTTCTCCAGATGATGATCTTTAAAGACCACAGACACCACCACTCGAGGGTCTGCTGGCACCTCTGCCACCTCCTCCAGATGATAATCTTTTCAGACCACAGACACCACCACTCAGGGGTCTTCTGGTACCTATACCATCGTCTCCAGCTGATGATTTTCTGAGACCACACACACCTTCCATCCAGTGTCCTCTGGGACCTCACTCAACCACTTTCTCCAACTGATATTTTTTTTAGATTACAGGCAGCTCCACCATTTTAGTATCCCCTGGGACCTCAACTACCTATTTCAATAGAGTGTCTTCTGGTATCTCTTCACCTTCTTGATGATTTTCCAAGACCACAGACACCTCTACCTGAGTGTACTCTAGTACCTCTACCACCATCTTCAGCTGAAGATTTTCTAAGACCCAACACACCTCAACCTGAGTGTCCTCTGTTATCTCTACCGCCATCTCCAGCGGAAGGTGTTCCAGGATCTCACACACCTCCACTTGAGTGTTCTCTGATATTTCTACCACCATCTCAAGCTGATTTTCTGAGACCACACACCTCCACCCGAGTGTAATCTGTTACCTGTAGCACCTTCTTCAGCTAATGATTTTCTGAGACCACAGGCAACTCCACCACTTGAGTGTTTTCTGGGACCTCAACCTCCTATTTCACTCACGTATCCTCTAGGACTTCAACCATCTACTTTACTTGAGTGTCCTGTGCCACCTCAACCATCTCCAAGTGAAGATTCTCTGGGACCACAGTCACCTCCTCCAGTTAAGTGCTTTCTGGTATCTCCATCTTCTCCAGCTGGTGATCTTCTGAAACCACAGACACCTCCAGCAATTGAGTGTCCTCTGGGACCTCCTTCATGTCTTCCGGCTGTTTGTTTTGTGGGACCTCCATCACCTCCTCCAGCTGCATCGCCTATGGGACTTCATCCACCTCATCCAGCTGTCTGTCCTTAGGTACCTCAACCACCTCATCCTGCTATCTGTCCTGGGGGACCCCATACACCTCATTCAGGTGTCTGTCCTGTGGAACCCCATCCACCTCATTCAGGTGTCCTGGGGGACTTCAACCACCTCATCCAGCTGTCTGTCCTGGGGGACCTCATCTACCTTATCCAGGTTTCTGTCCTGTGGGACTGCATCAACCACATTCATCTGTCTGTCCTGGGGGACCCCATTCACCTCATATACCTGTCTGTCCTGGGGACCTTATTCACCTCATCCATGTGTCTGTCCTGGGGGACCTTATCCACCTCATCCAGGTGTCTGTCCTGGGGCACCTCCTCTTCTTCCTCCAGCAGTGTGGCCTCTGGGACCTCAGCCTAATTCTCTACTTAGTGGCCACTGGAACCTTGGCCACCTTCTCTACCTTGGTGGCCTCTGGCCCCTTAGCTACCACCTTCACATGAGTGGCCTCTGGAACCTCAGCCACCTTCTCTACCTTGGTGGCCTCCCTTAGCTATCACTTTAAAATGAGTCTTCTCTAGTACCTAAATAATCTACTCATGACCTCTCAGCCCTCAGCCACCTCCTTCACCTAGGTCTTCTCTAGTACTTCAGCGAACTCCTTCGCTTGGCTGACCTGCTGTCTCAACCAACACTCAATCTTCACCTGAGTGTCCTCTTGGACTTCAGCCCCCTCCTCTAGTCATGTGGCCTCTGAGACCTTGACCAAGACCTCTAAATGCACCACTTGATGTGTTGATTTGAACAGTATAATTTGTAAAAAAAAAAAAAAAAAAAAAAAAAAAGACCATCTCTTCTTTTTTTGAGTGAAGAGAAAGAAATGTCACAGATGGTACTGCAGGGCTTTGCAGTACAAGGGTAACACTGGCTGAGATCCTGGTCACTTTTCTCAAGTTTCTGAGAGTACGCAGTCGGTTGCATTATTTCTTCTTCATGAGCTTGGCAGCAGGTATCTCTTGTAGATAAAGAGATTTTTATTTCTTGTGGGGACAGATTTTCACTGTGTCACCCAGCCTGGAATGCAGTGGTGCAATCCTGGCTCAGTGCAACCTCCATCTCCAGGGTTCAGGTGATCCTCCCACCTTGGCCTCCAGAGGAGTAGCTGGGACTACAGTCACACACCACCATGTTTGGCTCTTTTTTTAAATTTATTTTTTCTTTTTTGTGAGACAGAGTCTCACTCTTTTGCCAGGCTGTAGTGGAGTGGTGCCATCTTGGCTCGCTGCAACCTCTGCCTCTTAGGTTCAAGCAATTCTCCTGCCTCAGCCTCCAGTAGCTGGGACTACAGGTGCATGTCGCCATGCCCAACTCATTTTTTATATTTTTTAGTAGAGACAGGGTTTCACCATGTTGGCCAGGACAGACTTGATCTATTGATCTCGTGATCTGCCTGCTTTGGCCTCCCAAAGTGCTGGGATTACATGCATGAGCCACAGTGCTTGGTCTTTTTTTTTTTTTTTTTTTTTTTTTTTGAGATGGAGTCTTACTTTGTTACCCATGCTGGAGTGCAGTGGTGCGATCTCAGATCTCGCTCACTGCAACCTCCACCTCCCAGGTTCAAGTGATTCTTCTGCCTCAGCCTCCTGAGTAGCAGAGACTACAGGTGCATACCACCACACCTGGCTAATGTTTGTATTTTTAGTAGAGACAAGGTTTCACCATATTGGCCAGGCTGGTCTCAAGCTCCTAACCTCAGGTGACCCACCCACCTCAGCCTCCCAAAGTGCTGGGATTACAGGTGTGAGCCACCATGCCCATCTCTCTCTCTCTCTCTCTCTTTTACCTTTTTGTAGAGACCATGTTTCACCATGTTGCCCAGGCTGGTCTCAAACTTCTGGACTCATGCCATCTGCCAACCTAGGCCTTCCAAAGTGCTGAGATTACAGGCATGAGCCACCAGCCCAGCCAGAGATTGTTTATAGAAGCCAGAAATACCAGTTTTACAGGCGTGCATAGAATCTGGGCCATATGGCCATCTCTGTGAGGGATGAGACCTGCCCCTGACTTGCAGGGCATCCTGTGTCCTCCAGCAGAGAGATCCACACCAAAGGGCACAAAGCTTGTGACCACCCACAGTGGAAGCACAAGTGAGGGGATCCAGGGTGTAAAAGAAAGAAACTGAATCTCCTGGGAATAAACAGGAAGCTGTGGAAGAGAAGGCTGAAGTGGGTTGGTGTTACTTGGGGGTTTGTGTAACTCAGGTGGAGCTGGAAGGCTCCTGGCTGGGCAAGAAGTATAAGCAGGAGCATGAAGGCTGTGTGAGGGCCCCACAGAGCTGCTGTGCAAGAGCTCAGATGGCCAGGTGTACACAGGGAATTATGCCCTCAGCACTTCCTCATTGTCTTACTGCCCTGAGTCCATTATCTTTAGGAATGATGATTCTTTCCCTGGGTGTGTGAAGGCTCTGGAATGAATGAATGAATGCCTAGAGCTCTGGGAAATTTAACTTGGTTCTCAAGGGACCCTGTCTCCCCTAGTTTTTCTGGCCCCAGGAGACTAACAATGAGGATGGATCTGGTTTACTGGAGCTGTGGCCTTCGCCTTCAGAATCAGCCCCCTGCGACTCCCAGCTTTTCCTCTCCCAACCTTGGCCTGCAAAATCCTTCCCCTTCACTGTGTCCCTGCTTCCTGAGCCCAGACACCAATTCTCCTTGGGGCTCAGAGCCCCACCTTTCTGAGAAATGAGCTGGGACTGATGTGGTTTTGAGGTCAGGGTGAGGACAAGGAGATCAAGTCCACAAGGAAAGCATCTTGCGAAATAGCTGCTAAAGGGAGAGCCTCATCCCTCCTGCTGATTAAATGAAAATATTCCCACTCAGAAGATCAGCAAAAGATGTTCATTGAAGTTTACTAACCTTAGGATGTAACAGCTCAGGCCCTGGGATTTCCAATCTGTGTTTCAAAAGATAAAGATAGCCTCTGTCTCCAAGATTAAAATTCAGATTCTTATGAGATGAAGAAATTATAGGAATACATACACAGTTAAACTCTGAGATCTATATCTGCGATCTGTAGATAATTATTCTTCATGACATACAGACACATATGCAGCCACACATGGAAGTATTCAGTAGGGGCACAGGTATTTTATAGAAGACAAAATGTATATTGGGCAAAAAAAGATCACATGGAAATAAACAAAAAAAAATTTTTTTCACTATGAAAATGCTTTAATAATGGTGTCTGTACAGCATGGGACATGGACAGGGAAAACAGCAAGTGCACACACAGAGGCACAGGCCAGAGGACAGGCTGGGAGTGAATAAAGAGTTCACACCGCTTCTCTGCTTTCCCCAGTGACTGGAGGCTCTAGGCCACCTCCTTCTCAAACTCACCCTCCTCCTCAGCTGTGGTGTCCTGGTACTGTTAGTATTTGAATACCAGGTAATTCATGTTGCTCTTGGCCTTGGTGAACTCCATCTTGTCCAGGCCCTTGCCCGTGTAACAGTGCAGGAAGGTCTTGTGCGGAAACATGGCTGTGAACTGCTCCGAGATGCGCTAGAACAGCTCCTGGATGGCCCTGCTGTTGCCAATGAAGGTGGCAGACATTTTTAGCCCTCAGGGTGGGATGTCACAGACAGCCATTTTCTCATTGTTGGGGATCCACTCAACAAAGTAGCTGCTGTTCTTGTTTTGGACATTAAGCATTTGCTTATCCACCCCCTTCATGGACATGTGGCCCCTAAACATGGCCATGGTGGGGGTCGCAGGCCACCATCATGTTCTTGGCCTGGTGGGTGAGCTCGGGCATTGTCAGGGCCCGGGATTGCTGGCTTCCCTGGCTGGTCAGCGGGGCAAAGCTGGGCATGAAGAAGTGCCGGTGAGGGAATGGGACCATATTCACAGCGTGTTTCTGCAGGTCAGAATTGAGCTGGTCTGGGAAGCACAGGCAGGTCGTGACCCCACTCATGGTGGCAGACACCAGGTGGTTCAGGTTACCATAGGTGAGCATAGCAGTTTTAGGGTTCTGAAGCAGATGTCATAGAGAGCTTCATTATCAATGCAGTAGGTCTCGTCTGTGTTTCCTATGAGCTAGTGTATAGGGAGGGTGGCATTGTAGGGCTCCACCACCATGTCTGACACCTTGGGTAAGGGCACCACAGTGAACGTGTTCATGATCCTGTCTGGGTACTCCTCCCAGATCTTGTTGATGAGGAGGGTACCCATCTCAGACCCAGTCCCCCTACCCAGGGGGGCCTGGCCACTTGGCTGCTTTGTGTTTTTTAGTATAGTCCTGAATTCAATATGCTGTTTCTTAATTTTATGTTCAGATACCTTTGTGTTAGCTACTATATTCCTAACAAATGTTTCTTTTATTTATTTAAAATGTTTAGATTAATAGAGGGCTGGGTGAGGTGGCTCACGCCTGTAATCCCAACACTTTGGGAAGCCGAGGTGGGTGGACCACAAGATCAGGAGTCCAAGACCAGCCTGACCAACATGGTGAAACCATGTCTCTACTAAAAATACAAAAATTGGCTGGGTGTGGTGGCATATGCCTGTAATCCCAGCTACTCAGGAGGCTGAGACAGGAGACTGCTTCCACCGGGGAGGTGGAGGTTGCAGTGAATCGAGATTGTGCCTTCAGAGGTGTTGGGGTCAAATATAAACACTCTCTGGCTCCTGTGGGGCCTTGTAAGTGGGTTAAGAAAGACTGTTCCAAGAGTGGGTATGTCAATTATTGATGAAAGGGAAGGGAGGATAAAGGAAAAGTTGAACAAATTAAATCCTAGGTTAATTTAGAGTTATTCTGAGTTCTGTGAAATCAGTTCAACTTTCAGTAAGCAGTAACCCTCTTGACAAAAAATAAAATAAATAAACGAAAGGAATAATTCCAAATTATGATGTTTGATGATAAAGCACAACTATTTGCTATTACCCCTTCCACAAAAAAATGAAACAATTTGGGAAGACATCCCAAGATATTCAGAAAGAACAAGGCAAGGTAAGTGCTGTGATTTGAATGCCTCCAAAACTCATGTTGAAATTTGCCATTGTAATGGCATTAAGAGGTGAGACCTGGCCAGGCACGGTGGCTCATGTCTGTAATCCCAGCACTTTGGATGGTTGAGGTGGGTGGATCACCTGAGGTCAGGAATTTAAGAATAGCCTGGCCAACTAAAAACACAAAAGTTACCTGGTCGTGGTCTCGGGCACCTGTAATCCCAGCTACTTGGGTGGCTGAGGCAGCAGAATCACTTGAATCCTGGAGGCGGAGTTTGCAGTTAGCAGAGATTGTGCCATTTCACTCCAGCCTGGGCAATAAGAGCAAAACTCCATATAAAAGAAAACAAAAAGAATAAAAGGTAAGGCCTTTAAGAGTTGATTAGGTCATGAGGCCTCTTCCCTTGTGAATGGACGAATGTTGGTATCTGGAGAGTACCTTGGGTTACCCAGGGTGTGGGCTTCTGATAAAAGGGTACGTTCAGTTTCCATCCACTCTCTGTGTCCTGTGAGCGCCTCCCCTCTGCTATGGTATGGCACTGCAAGAAGGCCCTCACAAGTTGTGGCCCCTTGATCCTAGACTCCTCAGCCTCCAGAACCATGAGCCAAAGAAACTTCTATTCTTTTTATCTTTTTTTTTTTTTTTTTTTTTTTTGGGGGGTGAAGTCTCACTCTGTCACCCAGGCTGGAGTGCAGTGGCACGATCTTGGTTCATTGCAACCTCCTCCTCCTGGCTTCAAGTGATTCTCCTGACTCAGACTCCTGAGTAGCTGAGATTACAGGTATGTGCCAGCATGCCCAGCTAATTTTTGTATCTTTAATAGAGAAGGGGTTTCACCTTGTTGGTCAGGCTGTCTTGAACTTCTGACCTTGTGATATGCCCACCTCGGCCTTTCAAAGTGCTGGGATTACAGGCATGAGCCACCGCGCTCGGCCTTAAACTTCTATTCTTTATAAATCACCTAGTGTGTGGTATCTGTTATAGCAGCAGAAAACAAAAAAGCATTTAGATGTTTTAATCTTATTTAATAAACACAACCTGAGTCACATGTAGAAGACATTCTTCCTTCTCAGGATCCTACAACTGCCCTATAATCAGTAGAAAAGGAGACACCCAAGATTTTTGTTTGCACCTTTATTCAGGCCCCACTGAAGGACCTTCAGAGGTGTTGGGGTCTAATATATACAGTCTCTGGCTCCTCCTATGCTCTGTTGGGCCTAGCAAGTGGGTTAGGAAAGACTGTTCCAAGAGTGGGTATGTTAAGCAACAAAAGTATGTCCTGGCCTGGCACAGTGGCTCAAGCCTGTAATTCCAGCACTCTGGGAGGCCGAGGTGGGCAGATCACCTGAGGCCAAGAGTCTGAGACCAGCCTGGCCAACATGGTGAAACTCTGCCTTAACTAAAATACAAAAATTAGCTGGGCATGGTAGCACGACCCTGTAATCCCAGCTACTCTGAAAGCTGACACAGGAGACTCGCTTGAACCTGGAGACAGAGGTTGCAGTGAGATGAGATCATATCACTGTATACCACTCCAGCCTGGGCAACAGAGTGAGACTCCATCTAAAAAAAAAAAAAAGAAAAAAAGGAGGCCAGGCACGGTGGCTTGGCTTGGCCAGGTTCAGTGGCTCACTCCTGTAATCCCAGCACTTTGGGAAGCAGAGGTGGGTAGATTTCTTGAACTCAGGAGTTCGAGACCAGTCTGGGCAAGCAATATGGTGAAACCCCATCTCTGCAAAAAAAGACAAAAATTAGCTGGGCTTGGTGGCATGTGACTGTAGTCCCAGCTACTTGGGAGGCTGAGGTGGAATGATCACTTGAGATCGGGAGGCAGAGATTGCAGTGAGCTGAGATTGCGCCACTGCACTCCAGCCTGGGTGACAGAGAGCATGTCTCAAAAACAAAAAAATACAGAAGAGAAAGTTCAGAAACAAACCCAAGAATATAAAGGGGAGTGCTTTTGGGTGCGGGATATTCTGTATCTTGACTGTTGTGCTAGTGTCACAATTACGTACATTTGACAAAAACTCATTGTACACTTCAAATGGGTATATACTATTCTGTGAAAATTAGACTGTAACAAATTGTTTTTCACTTTTTAAAAAGACTTCTTAAGAAATAAAAATAGTATTAGGAACTACTTTACTTTCCTAAACCCATGACATATCACATAGATAATCCTAAACCTATGACATATCACATAGATAAAATTAGGTTCAGAAAGTAAAAATGAGCTCAGCATGAGAAAGTGAAAAAATCTGCCCTCTCATTCATCTGGCTGGAATTTATAAGTCAATGTTATTCATGATACCATTCTGCCATGCAAAGCATTGTGAACATTTGGTGTGTTATATCACACTGCCTTTGTTTGTTTGTTTATTTGTTTTTGAGACCTAGTCTGGCTCTGTTGCCCAGGCTGGAGCACAGTGTTGCAATCTTTGATCACTACAACCTCTGCCTACTGAGTAGATGGGACTGCAGTCGCCTGCCACCATGCCTGGCTAATTTTTAAATTTTTAATAGAGACAGGGTTTCACCATGTTGGTCAGGCTGGTCTCGAATTCCTGACCTCAGGTAATCCACCTGTCCAGCCTCCCAAAAATCTTATGCTGAGATTACAGACATGAGCCACTGCGCATGTGAATAGTGTTCCTTTTTTTTTTTTTAAAAAAATCAACTTAGTTCTCTTTTTCAGATTTTCTTCATGAAATGACTTGTATAAAGAAAAATGCAGGCCAGGCGTGGTGGCTCATGCCTGTAATCCTAGTACTTTGGGAGGCAGAGAGGGGTGGATCATTAGAGGTCAGGAGTTTGAGACTAGCTTGGCTAACATGGTGAAATGCTGTCTCTACTAAAAATACAAAAAATTAGCCAGCGGTGGTCGTGCCCTGGAATCCCAGCTACTCCAGAGGCTGAGGCAGGAGAATTGTTTGTACCTGGGAGGCAGAGGTTGCAGTGAGCCCAGATCGTGCCACTGCACTGGGCGACAGAGCAAGACTTCATTTCAGGTTTCGGGACAGAAAAAAAAAAAAAAAAAAAAAAAAAAACGTAAGAAACTTTTTTTTAATTTAGATGGAGTCTCCCTTTGTTGCTAGGCTGGAGTGCAGTGACCAGATCTTGGCTCATTGCAACCTCTGCCTCCTGGGTTCAAGCAATTCTCCTGCCTCAGCCTCCTGAGTAGCTGGGATTACAGGCACATGTTACCAACCCAGCTAATTTTTTGTGTTTTTAGTAGAGATGGGGTTTCACCATGTTAGCCAGGATGGTGTCTATCTCCTGACCTCATGATCTGCCCGTCCCGGCCTCCCAAAGTGCTGGGATTACAGGCATGAGCCATCACACCCGGCCCCTTATGTTTTTAAAAACAACTTTATTGAAATAGAGTTTATATAGCATACAACTTCCCCATTTAAGGCATCCAATTCACTGGCTTTTAGTATATTCACAAATCCTTTCTTTTTGTGTGTATGCACCACACTTTCCTGTCCATTCATCTGTTGATGGATACTTAGGTTGATTTCGTATTTCAGCTGTTGTGAATAGTGCTGCAATAAAAATGGGAGTGCAGATGTGTGTTTGATATACTGAGTTTCTTTCTCATGGGCATGTACCCAGCAGTGTGATTGCTGAATCATATGGTAGTTCTATTTTCAGTTTCTTGAGGAACGTCCATACAGTTTTCCATAGTGGATAGACTATTTTACATTCTCATCAAGAGTATTTGAGTGCTCCTGTTTCTCTGTGTCCCTTCCGCATTTGTTGTTTTCTGACTTTCTGATAATTGGCATGTTAGTTGAGGCTAGGTGATATTTTACTGTGGTTTTGATGTGAATTTCTGTGATGATTAGTGATGTTAAACATGTTTGCATTTACCTGTTGGCCATTTGTATGTCATCTCTTGGAAAATATCTGTTGAGATCTATTGTCCTTTCTTTCTTTTTACTTCCTCTAACATGGATCATAGGAAACAACTTTTTTTTCAATGCTGTTGTTGCAGAATGGGGGTGTGGGGGTTAGTGGGGCATGGGAGCCACAGTAGGGGCACTGCTGGAGTCTCATTCTGTCACCCAGGCTGGAGTGCCATGGCATGATCTCAGCTTGCTGCCACGTTCACCTCCCAGGTTCAAGCAATTCTCTTGCCTCAGCCTCCCTAGTAGCTGGGGATTACAGGCACCTGCTACCATCCCTGGCTTATTATTTGTATTTTAGTAGAGACAGGGTTTCACTATGTTGACCAGGCTTGTCTAGAACTCTTGACCTCAAGTAACCTGCCTGCCTTGGCCTCCCAAAGTGCTGGGACTACAGGCATCAGCTGCTACACCTGGTCCACCTTGTTTATTTTGAATTTTAATTAAAAAAATTTTTTTTTCTGTGCA